CAGGAATGTGAGCAAGTCTGAGTCAGCATGGCAGTAACAGGCTTTGTTTCCGGCCCCCAAGATCTGGGATTCCAGGGTACCAGAAAAGGGGCCTGAGCTCTAGAGACCTTTTGCCTCCAGATGGGGTCTGCTCTTAGTCTTCCTGCACTGTGGGATTCCAGAGCCTGGTGTGATCCAGAGGCTGGACCCCCTATCCCATCACCTAAATCTTTTCAGACAAAGGGGAATTTCCCGGTTTGTATCCTTACTACACGTGCACAGTATGCTTCTTCGTTATTAAGGTCTCCACATTCCCAATGCCCTGGCTCTGAGGACCTGAAGAGGGCTGGATTTCCAAATCATGATCCTCTCAGAGTTTCCAAGGATCCACCATCTGAGAACTCCTAAGCTCCCACTCAGCTCTTTTGTCCCTAGCCTGGCCCTCTCTGCACCTGGAAAGTATGCGGGCGTCTGTCCTCGGGCCTCTCCGTGTGGCCCATCCTGCTGTTCCTCCACCAGGGGTGGCCTGCTGCATGCAGTCGGTGATTTCCATCCTTCCTGCCATTTGCAGAGACATCCGCAGGACCCGTGCTCAGGCGATGGTGGGAGAAAGAGAGGCCTGGGCACCCCAGCCCCCACTGGCCTCAGCTCCCCTCTAGGTTTCATCTCTCGCCACTTCCGCCCGAAGGGGGCGGGCAGCACTACCGTCAAGATTGTCCTGAAGGAGAAACATAAGAAAGGTGGGGGCTGGACCCTCCAATGATCTGTGAGGTGGGGGGAGGGACCACAACGTCTCCTGCCTTCAAACCCTGCACCCCCAAGCCCAACTCGGCCATGAAGGGCATCCGTCTAAACCCCGTTTGACAGACAAGGACACCGAGGTTCAGAGTGTCAGGTTAGAGGCAGGACCAGTCCCAGAACGGTAGGCTCTTTTTCTGAGCACCTGCTGTGTCTTTACTGGGGAGTGGTGAACACAGTGAAGACAGGTGAAAGAAATTCCTATAAGGAAGTGCCAGGAACAGCTTCTGGCCAGGGAAGGAGGACGCAGAGCTGAGCTGCAGGAGGACAGTGGGGATGGGGTTGGGGGAAGGTGACTAGATGGGAGGCAGAAAGGGAGGAAAGGGCCTCACTGCAGGGTGAGGGAGGAAGAGAGGGAGGAGCCCTGGGGCTACAGATTCCTTGCCCACTTTCCTGTGGATGGGGACAGAGGTGGAGGAATGGAAAAGGACCTGCCAGTGCTCACATGGCCAGGTAGACAAATTAATCTTGGTCCTTCTGCTGCCAGGCCAGGGCCCTTGCTTACTGAAGTACCCCTGCAGGACAGGGCAGGGATGGAGAGGGCCCTCTATCTTCAGCAAGTCCCTCCTGCTCAGCAGTCATGTCTGAGATGGGGGATGTCAGGGACAGGGGCAGGTTCTATACCCTGGCCCGCACCTTGCGCGGCAGTGTGGCCTGCCAGGATGGTGGAGCAGGGGCCCCCTTCCCTCCACTGTTGGACTCCAGGCTCTGGCTGGGTCTGAGGCCCTCACCCTCTTCCCTCTCACCCTCCTTGGCCCAGCCTGTGTGCACGGCGGGAAGACATACTCGCACGGGGAGGTGTGGCACCCAGCCTTCCGCTCCTTTGGCCCCCTGCCCTGCATCCTGTGCACCTGTCAGGATGGCCGCCAGGACTGCCAGCGCCTCACCTGCCCTGCTGAGTACCCTTGCCATCACCCCGAGAAAGTGGCTGGCAAGTGCTGCAAGATCTGCCCAGGTACAAAGAGGTGCTGGGGGCAGGGAGGGCACTGGCCAGAGTGAGCCCTGGGCCTGTCTCCCCAGGGCCACAGACACATGGGACACCTCAGTCAGGAAAGAGGTGCATTGAGGGCCACAGGGTTTACAGATGCCCAGGATGGTGGGTCGCAGGAGTGGACCATGCAGCCTTGGAAGTACTAAATGTCCAGAACCATCTAACATTACAGTAACAGACTCAGGCTGGGGTGTGGACATGCACGCGGAACCAAATAATGTCACAACGTTTTAGAATAGCAGGACGTTCAAGAGGAAGAGCCAATGCTTACCGATCACTTCATAAGCTCCTCATCTCTCCTAGAGGACAAGGCAGACCCTGGACACAGTGAGATCAGTTCCACCAGGTGTCCCAGGGTGCCCGGCCGGGTCCTTGTCCACACATCCGTATCTCCAAGCCCAGACAACCTGCGACGCTTTGTCCTGGAGCGTGAAGCCTCCGACCAGGTGGAGATCTACCTCTGGAAGCTGGTAAAAGGTGAGTGTGGGCCACTCCCAGCCAGGTGGACTTCTGGCCTGTCTCCCTTCCTGGGCTCTAGACACCCCCATCCGGCCAGGGACGTTTTGTTGAGGAGGTGCTCTGGCAGCCCTTCCGGGGTCAAATCCCTGAGTCCAAGTCAGAGAGAGCTGGTGATTTCTGTCTGTGACAGTTCTGATAAGCTCACTCACTTTAAGATGCCAGTGCCTCCAAGTGCTCCCTCTCCTGGGAGAAAGGGTGGTTGCGTCTTGCAGGGAGCCCGGCAAGGGGAGTACAAGCTGTCTAATGGCCGGATTTCAGCACCCTGGGAGGGAGTTCTTTTCAGGCAGGAGGACCCTGACAGCACCCTCAGGACAAGAGGGCCTGCAGGCTAGTCTCACCCTGCCTTTTTTTTGGAGAGGTTTTTGCTATAGGGCATGCACACTCGCCAGAAAGAGAGAGACAGAGAGACAGAAAGCGAGAAATCATCCCCCAGGGGGAATGGCCACGCCACAATCCCTTCTCCTCCATTCTCCTCTCAGGATCTTGGGCACACACGCACACACGCCCGGTGTGAACTTAAGCCGCCAGGTCCAGGACTTGAACCGCAGTCGGCTACATGGGAGTCCAGCGACATAGCCATTATACTAATTGCTGGTCCCTCACCCTGCCTTTTTTATGTGGTGGTCCTCTCGCTCCAAGGCCAGTTGATGCCAGAAGATGTTTTTGAGAAACTCACCCTACTCAGTAGGCTGCTCTGTCACTAACTAAAGATTAAGAAGGGTGTTCATTGATAAGAGAATCGCTGAGACTTTTGTGGCTCTTCTTAGAAACCATGAATCCCCTGGGGAGAGTGGAACATTAAGCTGTGACCCAAACTACACTTTTTGAGTGTGAATTGGCTCTAAGGTCACTTCCTCTCCTGATGGGTTTGGCTTGGGAGGTGGGAGTGGAAGAGGGAATGATAAGAATGATGACAATGACAACAGCCAATGAGTGTAGCACTTTAGAACTTACAAAGTGCTTTCACATTCATTGTCTCATTGGATCCTCAATGATCCTGAGAGTTAGGTATTATTATCCCCGTTTTACAGATGAGGAAACTGAGGCTCAGAGAGGTGAAGTACCTGGCCCCAGGCCACACAGCCAGTAAGTGGAGGACGAATAAGAATGATGACAATGACAACAGCCAATGAGTGTAGCACTTTAGAACTTACAAAGTGCTTTCACATTCATTGTCTCATTGGATCCTCAATGATCCTGAGAGTTAGGTATTATTATCCCCGTTTTACAGATGAGGAAACTGAGGCTCAGAGAGGTGAAGTACCTGGCCCCAGGCCACACAGCCAGTAAGTGGAGGACGAGAGCTAGAGCCCATGTCTTGTGACGTCAGAGGCGGGTCTTTTCCCGCTCTCCTGCTCTGCTCTGCCCCCTGTCATAGGAAGAACGGATGAAGAAAGTGGAGCTGTCCAGCCTGGAGAAGAGAAGACTCAGGGGGACAGGACTGCTGGCTTCCTGGCTCTGAGGGCTGCCAAGGCAGAGGGAGCAGCCACGTTCTGAGTGACTGCAAGGGTCAGACAACAAGCAGCGGCTTTAGAATCAAGCAGACCTTGGTTCAAATCCTGGCTCTGCTATTTCTTAGCTGTATGGCCTTGGGCAATGATTTGACCTCTCTGGGCCTCAGTTATCTCATGTGTTAACTGGGGAAGAGGGCTTTTGGAGGAGTAAATGAAATGACATAAATATAGCTATAATAAAACTGTTAGTATCCTTCTCATGCCACACATCAGTCAGAATTGCTGAGAGACGGGTGTTCATTTGAGGAGAGGGTGAACTTTCTCATGGTAGAAGGGAGGGGGCAAATTCCACTCACAAGTGTAGGCCAGGGCTGGATGGGGGTTCTGTCCACAGCTGTGGAGTCAGCCACAGTGACTCTTACACTTGTTCTGAGTCCCCGAGCAGGTGCTATAGCTGCTGGCTGCGTACCTTCCCCATGCCCACACCCCTACCAGGTGCTGGGGCCAGAGGGAGTAACCGACCCCAGCCTGTGCTCTCAGCAGCTCATGGCTCAGGGGCCTGGGTGCAGCAGGAGCTTCCAGAAAGCCGAGCTGGTTAGGGACGGCTTCGTGGAGGATGCGGCCCATGATTTAGAGGCAAGAGGGCTGCGCTGTCAGCAGATGGCACTGACGGCCTCCTGCTCCGGCCCAGGCACCTGTGCTTTGTGATTGGCATGTGTAACGTGCCTCATTTAATCCTCACAAGAAACCTGATAGGTATGCAGTAATGCCCCTGCTCTGCAGATAAGAAAACTGAGCCTGAGAAGTCAAATGCTTGCTCAAAGCCACAGTTTAAACAGTAGGAATTCAAATGCCGGTCTGAGTGACCCCAGTGCCACCTCCATAAGAGAGGTGCCTGAGGAAGGCCAAGGTGGCAAGGGCAGCTTGTGGTCAGTTTCAGCCTCACTAGGGCCCAGCAAAAAGGTAATGAGTTGGGGAGAACGCTTTCATTCAAGGGCACGGTGCAGGCCCTGTCATCCTGTCACTAGCAGCTCCCCACCCCCACCAAGCCCTTACTTCCTGGGTTGCCTAAATGCCTCATCAGCACCTGGCCCTCTCCCCTTCCTTTCCTGTCCCAGCCTATGGGAGTCAAAGCAAACACAGCCCAGGGCTGACTGCCTGGGAGCCACTGGCGGTTCTCTGACTCAGGGGAAGGGGAGCAACCTGCAGGTGGAGCTGGCCAAGGCCACACCACGGCAGGGCTGGCTCTGGGCACCAGAGTCTGACAGAGCTGGCTTAGGGTGAAGGGCCTTTAGGTTCTGGAGTTTCAGAGTAGCAAGGACCTCAGGGATACTGATTCTAAGCCCTGCCTAGGAAGGAGGTGCCCCTACAGGCTCCTGATGGCCCCTAGCCCCTGACTGCACACACCCCGACTCCCACTTCCAGACAGGTGATCTGCTCCCAGCACTGTGTGTGGCTCAGCCCAGAGAGGGTCTGGCTCACGCTGAACTGAGCCCGTCCTGTTTCCTGGGACTCACTGCCGGTGCCAGCTCTACGCTGGGGGCCCAGAGCCCAGCTGCCTTCAAACCTGACACAGCCCTCTCAAGGGCAAGAGGTCTGCCCACGACCCTCAGGGTCGCTCCTGATTCTGGGTGGAAGAACCCAGTCCATTCGATGACGCTTTCTAGACTGCAATGTGGGGGCCCACCCTGAGCCCTGTCACCTCCTCTGTGACCGGGGAGCCTTTAGAGGCCCATCATCTCATGCTTGTCACCACTGCTGTCATGGAACCCCTGGAGCAAGTTCTTCCATTCCTGGTCCTTGGCATCTGGGCTAGGAGGCCCAAGGACACTATGGGGCATTCCCTAATCCCTGAAACTCAGTCCTGGAATTGGTGCTTTCTGTTCTTCTTGGAGGGAACAGAAACTTCCACCACAGGGCCAGTTCCTGGTTCCTTGAAGGTGGTGCTGGCCGAGCAGAGGCTTTGGTAGTTACATCTGTCCTTTCTGGCCAGAGACCTCGGCGGATGACAGCTGTGTGATCTCACAGCCCCCATGCTCAGGGCCTCAGTGCCATGTGTGGTGTGGCGGCTGGCTCCCTGTGAGATGCACACATCAAGGGACCAGCTAATTCCTCATTCCCCCTAGGGCCTGACCTAGACTGGGTACACATATGTTTGTTCATGCCTCTGCCCGTCCAGCTGTCTAGGGATCCATTCATTCTGCGCGCCTCGAGTGGTCAGGCTCAGGGGAGCAGAAGGGAAAGCCCTCTGGAAGTTCTCGGTCTGGTAGGGGAAGAGGAGTGGACACATGACACACACTGGAAATGGGTACAATCCCAAACAAGCCGAGTGCCATGGGTGCCCCTGGAGCAACTGCCTCAGGAGGCATTTGGGACGTCCTCCCAGCTAAGGCCTGAAGGATGAGCAGGCGTTCGCTTGGTGGCAATGGTAGACGTGTTCCAGCAGAGGGGGCAGTTTCTGTACAGGCTTGGCCCCCTCAGGGGACTTCGAGTAGTTGGTTGGGGCTGGAGGACAGGTGAGGCCCTGTAACTCGGACACCTGCTAGTCCCTCAGTGTCTGAATAAGCACACCTACAGGTTTTTCCCCTACGTTCCATGCCCAGAGAAAAGTATGACCGGTCCTCGTCATTAGCCTTTTCTTCCTCTCTTCCTCCTTTCTCTCTCCTTTCCCTCCTCCCTCCCTCCCTCTCTTCCTTCTTCCCCTCCCTCCCTACTCTCCCTTCCTCTTCCCCTTTCCTTCCTTCCATCCCTCTCTGCTCTACCCATCTCCCTCCCTTTCTCCTGTCCTCACTTCCTTCCTCCTCTCTTCTTCCCTTCCCTCTCTCCTGCCTCCCTCCCTGTGCTATGGACAGGTTGTACTATGAGGACAGGGTGGGGCTGGTGGCAGGAAGAGCATCAGCAGAGAAAAGAGGCCAAAGAACATGCATTGTACTGTGGGGGTGACAGGAGGTCAGGCAAGGGGCCCACGGGAGAGCCAGTTGGTTTTCTGAATGACCATTAGGATTAGGGTGAGGATTCCAGTGTTGTGACCCAGGCAAGACAATGTGGGCCTGAGTGAGGAAGGAGAACCAGCCTGGGACAGATTCAAAATAGTTAGGGAAGGGGCTAGCAGGTGGCGTGGTGGTTAAGGGCGCTGGACTCCCACATGGCTGACCTCAGTTCGAGTCCCAGACCTGCCAGCTTGCTTTCTCCCCTTCATGGCTGACCTCAGTTCGAGTCCCAGACCTGACAGCTTGCTTTCTCACCTTCTCTCTCTCTTTCTCTCTTGCTCTCGTTCTCACTTTGTCCCTCTCTGGTCAAATTAAAAAATAAATAAAGTTAAATAAAATAACTCTTTAAAAAATAGGGAATTGGATGGGCAGGGTCTGGTGTTTGATCAGGGTGGGTGTGGGTGCAAAGGGAGGTGACTGGGCCAGCTCTGCCTCTAAGTGCCTGTTTCACTGCCCGTCAGATCCCGCCTTTCTTGCTCATGTCCTTGTCTCTGCCTTCAGGAATCTTCCACTTGACCCAGATCAAGAAAGTCAGGAAGCAAGACTTCCAGAAAGAGGCACAGAACTTCCGGCTGCTCACTGGCACCCACGAAGGTGGGACCTTGGGCTGAGGGACGGGCCTAGGGAAGAGAGCAGGGACAGAGGCCGGAGCCTCTTGGGGGAGCTCCTCTGCTAGCTGCTGAGCTGTGGGGGTGGAGAGGGGCTGTCAGCCATGGACGTCAATTCCCAGCAGAGGAATCCAGTGGGCGTCAGAGCCAGAGATTTCCCAACCCAGGAGTGAGCGGGAAAGTGAAGCAGAGCTGCTAGATTTCATCCTGGGGGTGGGGGTCTGCCTGCTCCCTCTGCCCTGCAACATTTTCTATTGCAACCCTCCCAACGACTGTCCTGATACCCGTAATTAGCTTGGGAAGAAAGGCCTGGTGGGGGGCTGGGTTTTGATGGAGGGTTTCCCATGTGGGGAGGGGCGTAGCCGGAGATAGGAGCATCACTTCAGTATCAGGAAGCCAGCCCTGCCCCACAGAGCTGGTGTTTGACAGCCAGGCCTGTGCCACCTGTATGACTGGGATTTTCCTCTCCCCTCCTTTTGGGCTCCAAACCCTGGCCTCGGGGTACCTCTTTTCCCTAAGCTTTTCCAGCCCCTAGTCACTGCCTCTGTTGTGAACGCTCACATGTCCACACACACCCTCTTCTCTCTTCTGCCTTCCTCCATGCAGGTCACTGGAACGTCTTCTTAGCCCAGACCCCGGAGCTGAAGGTCATAGCCAGTCCGGACAAAGCAACCAAAACATTGTAACAAAGACCTAAACCATTGCACATAAGAGCGTTATCATTTTTGTTATTATATATTAATAAAGAAGAAGTTGCATTGCCCCTCGATCCTGCCTTCCGAGTTTATATCTGGTCTCTGAGTGCCTGCTTACTTTTACTCTGCAAGGCAGGCCTGCTCATCCCTGGCTCACAGGGGTGGAACTGAGATCCAGAGGGGCAGAGATGGGCCCCTGTCCGCGCAGTGAATCGTTACTAGAGTCAGCGCTAGTTCACCTGGCCTCCCCGCCCAAGCCCTTGCGTGCCACAGTGCTCTCGTCCCCTACCTGCACTGCTTCTGTCCCCAGGCCTCCAACTATAACACCTGCTCTTATAGATAACCCTGCTCTTACAGATAGCCCCCTCCAACTGAGCCTAAGAAGAGTGACTCACTAGTCAGTCAGGGGAGGGGTGAATGGAGCCTCAGAGCACTTTCCCCCCAAATACTTCCAGGATCCTCACCGTTGTCAGCCACACCTGACCCTGAGGAATGGGTAGGGAGGAGAGCAAACCGCAATTCCCCTGAAGCTGCAGAGCTGGTTAGTAGCAGAGCGGGACTTGGAAGCCGGATCTGCTCTAGGCTAGCCTCCTTCCCCAGCTCATACCAGACCAACTAATGAGCCCAAGAAGTTTCCAAGGTCTGACAGTCAGCCTGCCACTCCATGTACTACTGCATGATCCTGGTGGTCACTTTCTCTCCCTGAGCCTCAGTCACCCCCAAGGGCTGAGAAGAAAACTCGTTACAACCAAAGACATCCCCAATGCTTTATCCTGCCCACATGCGTAAACCCTTGGACTTGCAAAGAAGTTTTAGGGCAAAGACTTCACTTAAGGTGAACAGTCAGGAGTTCCCCACTGTGGGTCCAGAGAGAAGGCTGGGCCAGTAGGTGGGAGCCAAAGCTAGGAGAGGGAGGTGCTAGCCTGGGAGAAATTGTGGAGTGAGAAGAGAAGTGGGACCAGGACCAAGCCCTGGAGCGCCAGTGAAGGAGTGGCCATGGAGGGAAGAGAATGGGCAGAGCAGCAGCTGCGAGGCCATCACCTGAGGCCCAGGAAGGGCCCTAGTGGCACAAGGAGCTCTGGTAGCCAGCAAGTAGGATGTCAGGAGAGCTGAGAGGAAGAAGCTGGGCTGTGGGGCTGAGGCAGTGTCTGGGAAGCAAGGAGGCAGCCCAGTTGTTGAAGAACTTGGGCAATAAAGGAGAAGAGAGACTGGGCAGTGGCCGGCTGTGCTCGCAGATGGAAGAAGGGGTTCGGGTGGGAGAGATTTAAGCAAGTCTCGGTGATGAGAAGATGCCGTAGGAGAGGGGAAGTAGAAGAAACGGGAGTAAGGATGGAGGGAGAGGAGGCCTGGGGTTGGTTTAAAAACCTGTTCTTCCTCAGCCACTAGCTTTCTGTGCAGCCCTGGCACATCTTCTGTGAATGTGATGAGCAGTGGAGGGGGTGAGCTCCCAGACTGCCCGCTCTGCCTCTCAAGGGGTTCGCCAAGGCTCCAGCAGGGGGGTCCCATGAATCCACCATCCTGCCTGGCAAATGAGGCAAGGACACTCCCTCCCACATGCCTGGCCATTAGCTAACAATCACATTTCAACCCATTGTCTCATCAGATTTCCTAAGACGATCTGCTTAGGATGGAATTATTATTTTTTGAAAGTTTGTCTATTGCTTCCATGAGTGCAAGAAGAGAAAGAGAGAGGCAACCCTAGCAGGGACTTCACGCCACCATCCACCCCCACTGGTGTGTGCACACACCCACTGAGTACAGGGAGACCTCAGGACACGATCCCAAGACCTCTCCACATAGGTCCAGTTGCTTACCAGTATGCCACCACCTGGCTCAAGGTAGGGGGTTATTAACCAAATCACAGAGCTGAGGGGACTGAGGCTCAGGGAGAGAAAGTGACCACCAGGATCATGCAGTAGTACATGGAGGAGCTGGATTCCAACTGGGGTCTCTGTGATTGTATCCTTAAGGATCCCAGAGCTGTGGGCTGGGCAGGGGCTGAGGCTGGGGCTGGAGCAGCTGACCTAGGTTGGATCTTCTGTGCCACTTGACCTTCTCAGGTAGTTTCCTGGTCCCAGAACTTGATCGTCCCATCACGACGCCAGGCCTAGCCTGCAGGTTTCCTGGGGAGGCTTCCTTCTCCTCCTCAGCAGCTGTGAAGCCACCTCCTTCTGTCCCCCCATGAACCCTGAGCTCTGGGAAACAGCAGTATTTCTGAGAAACAGGACGTGGCCTGTGGTTTGGGGCTGGCCTGGGGGTGAGGGAAGGCCTGGGGCCCCACTAGGCACAATGGCATCTCTCTCTAGGGCTGGCGTGGCCACCCTCCTTCTTGCCATGGTCCCTGGAAGATACCCCTGGCTACCTTCTTCTCCATCAGGGCCGGTCCATCGAAGAGGAGCAGAGACTGCTGTCCCAGGCTGGCTGAGGTTGCAGGGTGGGTTGGTGTGGGTTTCTATGTATAGACATTTTTCAGATGTTCTAGAATTAGAACCTGGATCTCTGGGCCCCAGCTCAAGACCACACGAAATCCAACTTCCCTCCCTAGCGTCACTTTTATCCTCCTCTACACAAATCAGGGCTCATACACTTTGCCCAAAGTGACACAGTAACCAAGAGTTGGGGCTATGATTGGCACCCACGGGTCTGACTTCGAAATCTGGACCTCCTTTTCCATGATGTGTGGACCGAGGAGAAGATCAGCTTGCCTATCAGCCCAAAGACCTTCCAGGAACACAGAGCATGTCTCTGCTTCATGGAGCCCAGGTTAATGCGAAGCTCCCTCTGCTCCCCCTTCATGGTCTGGCTCCTGCTGCCTCCAGCCAATACCCATATGTCCCTGTAGCACTCCAGGTTCCAGCTTGCTGCACCACTGACCAAGCTGGGAAGAATCTGGGATCCAGGAAGACCTGAGCTGACACCAGTAGGTGTTCTCACTCCATTCTCAACTCTGAAGGTCAGCACTTCATTGCCAGCTAACTTTTTTTTTTTTCATACATAGATTTATTATTGTTCTCTTTTTTCTGTTTTATTTATTTATTTATTTACAGTCACTCACTGAACATCAATACAGTATACAAAATGAGATTTTCCATTCAGTATACATTGCAAATTGGCTCAATCAAGGATATTACCATGTTATCAACAAATGATTTTCTATTTCTTGTTTCTTACATATTTTGCTCTTTTTGCCTCCCTTGATTCCCTACTTCTCACCCTCTGCCAACTGTCCCCCTTCTCCCACACTTCCCTGGTATCTACAGTCGTTTTTCCCTCCTTTATTTTCACATTTTATTGGTTCATTAAAGATCTTAATTAATTGAAAGACTTTCAATAGCAAGCACAGCTGATATATACTTATTTAAGAATGCATGTCTGACTTCAGGCGTAAACCTCAGTGAGTAAACTGAACATACTGTAAAGTAGCACCTTGCTGGGGCTATCCAGCTTACTGCAGTCATTAAATAGGTATTAATAGGTATTTTTAAATGAATTTTTAAATTTCAAAAAGTGTTTTAGTTTTAATAGATCAAAATCAAAAAATGTTAAGGGAAATTTGCTTAAAATTTAAAGCCAGGGAAAAGTTAGGATTCAGTTCAAATAGTAGATAGACGAATCTATCAACAGTTTAAGAGAAGACAAAATCCTTAAATATGGAAATCAAAGCGTTGAAGAAAATTAGTAACATTTTAGTCTAAAGTCAAAAAAAAAAATACTATTCCACTAGTTCAGACTCACATAATTAACCTCTCTTCTATTGAATTTGCAGTGTTACTGTGGTCTAATCTTTTCATTTAAACTCCGGAAGTTAACATTTAACTCCGAACTTGTCCCTACTATTGGGTTAGACATTCTTTTAGTTGTTTCTTGTACTCTTATTTCTGTGTGTCTGACTTTAGTTTTCCTGGTATAGCACTGCCTTCAGCACTTTTTGGACAGCTTGTCTGGTGTTAGTAAATTCAGGTTTTGTTTACCTGAGAATGTTTTTGTCTTTTTTCCCATATGAAAGATAATCTTGCTGGGTATAGTATTCTTGGTTGAAATTGTTTTTTAACGCTTTGAATATATTTTTCCATCCTTTCCTTGCTTGCATTGTTTCCGATGAGAGGTCCAACGTTAGGCTGATGGGATATCCTTTGGAAGTAACTTGAAGCTTCTCTCTTGCCAATTTTAGTATCTTGTCTCTGTCTGCGGTTTTGGTCAATCTGGCTATGCTGTGCCTCAGGGAAGATCTTCGTGATTGATTCTATGTGGGGTCCTTTGTATTTCTTGAGTCTGGACATTTGAGTGCCTCTGTAGGTTTGGACAGTTTTCTCCCAGGATTTCATGGAATAGATTATCAATGCCCTTATTAGTTTCTTCACCTTCGGGGATACTGATGATCCAGATGTTTGGGCGTTTAATGGTATGTAGTAAACTTGTATGCTATTCTCATTTTGGGGGTTCTTTTCTCAGTCTTTTTAGTGAAATTTTCTAGGTCAGAGCTTCTATCTTCTACATATGAGATTTGACCCTCTCTGCATGATCTAATCTGCTTTTGATACTTTCAATGGAAGTTTTGATTTCCTGTGTTACAGCCTTTATCTCTAACAATTCCATTTGATTCTTATTTATAATGCGTATCTTCTCTTTCAGCTCATTCAAGAACTTCCTCACCTCCTGGAATTCGGTGTCTTTTTTGCCTACATCTTCTAAAGTTCATTGTCTCTCTTCTCTTGCATCTCTGTTAGCTTTGTCACTATGAATATTTAAAATTCTTTGTCTGGCATTTCCATGAGTTCCCTTGTATTTTTTTGTGGAGGAAGAAGAGTTAATCTTTTCCATTAGAGGAGAGAGATTTTCTTCATTTCTCACATTTCTTGTGCTTCTGTGGTGGTTTCCGGTCATCTGATGAATTATATGTTTTTTTCCTGGCTCCTGGCTAGACCAGGATTTCTCCCAATTTACTTTTTAAAATTTTCTTTTTTTAAACAAATTATTTTATTTAACTTTATTTATTTATTTAGATCCGAGACAGAGAGAAAGTGAGAAAGCAAGCCTCCAGGTCTGGGACTCAAACCACAGCTGGCCGTGTGGGAGTCCAGTACCCCTAATCACCATTCCACCTGCCAAACCCTTTTCATTTCTTTCTTATGAGAAAGAGAGACAGAAAGAGAATAAGACAGAGACATATATAGAGAGAGAGGGAGAGAGAGTTAGCACCCCCCCAGGGTCCTGACACTGCAATCCACCACTAGCATTCAACCAGCCCTGAATCTGTAGTAAGCATGTGCCTGGCATACTTGGGAAGGTCTCAAGACTTGAACTAGGAACCTTCCTATGTGGTTTGTGTCGCAGAGTATCATGTTTTACCTCTGCACCACCATCTGGCCCTTTAACCAATTCTGTTAAGAAGCAGAGAACTGAACCATGCACTGCTTAGCTACCTAACAGCTTCCAACCAGGTCAGGTACAAAGGATCTTCCCTTCCAATTCCCAAAAAATGCCCTGAGGAGGGACTCTAGTCCACAAGGGATGACAGATCATCAGTTGGGAAGTCAGGAATAAGGTACTAAATTGCTGTGGGAAAGTGCAGCATCCCAGATTAGGGGATGAGATGCAAACACATGGTCACCAAGGGATCCTTGTCCCCAGATGCCACTCTACAACCTTGGCCCACTTCTTGAACCTGTGTCTTCTTTCCCATACCTTTCACATGCTGCTCCCTCTTTCTGCAATGCCTTTCCCTATTTCTGACCATATTATTCCGTTGCATCCTTTAAGACCCCCTCAGAAAAGCTGTCCCAGGTCCTCCCAGGCGAACTCCAGGCCAACCACCAGAAACAATAGCCAGATACATAAATAATGGCACCCAGATGATTCCCGCCCTCCCCATCGAGTCTTCCCAGCTGAGCAGACTTCATGGAGTAGAGATAAACGGTGCGCATTGTGCCCTGCCCAAGTGCCTGACCCACAGAACTCACAAGCATTAAAAATAGTTGCTTTAAGCTGCTAAGTTCGGGGTAGTTTGTTACGCAGCAAAAGCGGAACACATCCAAGTTTCCCCACAGCCTACCTTCCCAGCCCTGCAAACTCCTCCTTCCTCCCACGCCCTCCCAGCAAACTATCCCTTGGGCTTAGAAAGCAAATCTAGGGAAGGGGACCAGGTAGTACTGGAAGCACAGAATTCCAGGATCCTGGGTTCCCAGAGTGTGGTCTAGGAGGGATACGGGGGTGCACATCTTGTTGAGCCTGGGGACTCCTTATGCAATGGGGAGGGGTACTGTTGATAAAGGGTCAGAGGGCCTTCAAGAGGGTATGCCTGGGGTAGGGGTCCCTCTTACCTGGGTCTAAGGGGGTACCGCCCTCTACCACCAGCACTACTACCCACTATCACATCTCCTACCAGCTGCTATCAACACCATCACTACTACAGGGGACGCGGCCCTTCTCTGTGTCTACCTGTGTCCATAAGCCCCCATGGTGACAGAGAGGGGCTAAGCAGACAGAAGAGAGCACAAGGGGCCGATGAAAAACCATGGTGTGCTAGGGAGAAGGTGTCAGAGAAAGTTTCCTGGAGGGAGGGACACCTGACCAGAGATCTTACAGGATTTTCCAGGGAAAGTGGAGAAATGATGTTAGGTTCTAGGAACAACATGGTCAGATGGCAAGTAAGAGTGTGAGACATTAGGGTCACTGCAGAAATCCAGCCTGGTGGGAGGGCAGCCTGGTGAGGAGCACAGGAAGCAGAAGCCAGCTTCGCAGGGCCACTGGAACAGGTTGATGCTCAGCGGACGCACTGGCATGGCTACCAATGCCGGTGTCTATCCTGCCTGTCCAGGGTCCATCTCAAACCAGTAGCTGTTTTGAATACCACCCATCCTCTTTTTCTAAAGTTGTTTTTTATTTTTATTTTTTAAACAGTTTATTTATTTAGTTCATGAGTGAGAGAGACAGAGAGACAACACCCCAACGGGGTCTTGATGCCATGGTCCACCCTTAGTCTCAGCCAACCCTACCTCATGGGCACGCACATGCCCAGTGTACTCAGGGAGGTATCTGGATTGGAGTCGGTAACCGTCCTATGTAAGTCAGCCTCGGGGAGCATTGAGTTTGACCGCTGTGCCACCGTCTGGCCCCCACCCCTATTTTTGAGCCTAGCAGAGTTTGTAGCAGAATAGCTCAATCAGGTTTGTGTTTACAAAGATCTCTTAGACTTCTGAGGGAGAAAGACTTGCAGGGATTCAAGAACAGAAGTAGGGAGATTGGTTAGTAAGTTAATGTAGCTCTCAGTGACTCGGAGGGTAGCAGGCTAGACGAGGCATGGCAGAAAAGACGGAGAGGTGTAGATGGGGTTGCAAGCCAGTTAGAGCCCCAGATCAACAGAAGATAGGAGGAGTCCAAGGTGACTCCTGTCTTCAATGGACTCACAGAACAAGAGGGAAGAAACCGCACAGATACAAATAGTACTTAAACTCGGCATTGTTGGGGACCAGCAGGTGGTGTAGTGGTTACAACGCTGGACTCCCACATGGCCTATCACAGTTCGAGTCTCTGACCTGGTGACTTAAAAATCATGCCAGGTGCATGTGTACACATGCCCCAAACCCCAGGAGGAGAATAGAGGAGAAAGGGTTACAGCGTGGCCACCCCTTTGATTTCTTTGTCTCTCCCCCGCGAGCACATGGGCCCTATGGCAAAAATCTTAAAAAAAGGAAAAGAAAATCAGCATTGCTGTTGTGCTTTGCAGGCTATAGAGACCTTTCAGAGCATATGATCTCATTTAACCCTTCCCATCAACCTCAGAGGCAGGTATCAATAGTCGTTTGGCAAACGAGAAAACACGGTGCCTGTGGCCTGCCCCATAGTCACTGCCCTACTTCCTCTTTTCTTTCTAGTTTATTTATTCCATGAGTGAGAGAGAGAGATACAGTGCCCCCGACAGGGTCTTGATGCCGCAATCCATCCCCAGCCTCCCTCCAGCCTCTCCAAATTTAATCATGGGAACACGCATACTCAAGGGAGTCTGGATAAGAACTGGCCACCTACCCATGTAGGTCTGCTTCACAGTGCCTCATATTTCATTGCACCATCTGGCCCCTCACCTTCTCTTTGCTAATAAAACCCCATTTGAATGAGTACTCAGCACTTACGGTGGACTATGATTGGTCTAAGCCAGTTTCAGTTCTCTGTTAATAGCTGGTCTACAACTGACTTACATGACCCACTTCTGGTGGAATGAGGAGGGAAAAATTTATCTCTTGTAAGGGAGAGTTACATGAAAAGGAAGTCTTTTTGGCTGTTGCCCTCTTTTTGGTTCCTGTTTCAAATGCTATCAGTTAAGAATATCAGACATGGCGCTTCAGCAGCCATCTTGTGACCATGAGGCTGAGAACAATGAAAGTCAGCATGCTAAGGAAGGCTGTAGGGAATGAAGTCCTCAATGACACTGATGAGCCACACTGAGTGATCCAAATCTAGGGATCACTCACTTCTAGGTTTGTGGTTAAAAAAAAAAACAGATAGCCTTTTAGTTACTGCCACTAGCAGTGTTGCCAGTGAGCCACCTATAATGCCTCTCCTTCCTTTACCATGCATGTGCGCCAGCTCCTGGTGAGCTTCCATGCCCAGCAGAGAGCACCTACTACTCTTTGCCAGGCTGCTGGAGCTTGCTTGGCCTGTGAACATAGAAAAGCAGAAGAGCCTGGAAACTGATGCCCTACTCCACCTCAGGATCCCTTAACCCACGACTGCCGAGTATGGGGTGTTGATCCCCCAGCTCCCTTGTACCAATATGGGCAACTGTGAGGAGTACTTGACACTGTCTCCAGAGCTCCTCTGCAAGACCCAGACAAGTTCTGGCTTGAGTCATCCCCTTGCACCCCCTCTTCCCTTCCTTCCCATTTCTCCACCCCCCTCAAACTGATTTGTCTTAGAAACCCCTCCCCATGCATCACTTTCACACAACTCCTCATCTCAACTTCTGTTTCCAGGAATTGCAGCCCAAGATATCCACTGCTAGTCGGGAATTCTGTACTTGCAGCCTAAAGCATCTGAGCAGACACAGGCCAAGCAAGGTCCAGGGCTCCTAGCCAGTATGTTCAAATTAAAGTGTCCTGCCTGAAAACCCTATCGCCTCTTTAAACATGCCAATTAATAAGTTGTTGATTAAAAACTTTTGTGAAGTGCTGTGTGCTAAACATCCTAATGACAGCCGTTGATTACTGAGTTACTGGGCACCTCCCACATGCCAGGAACCAGGATCAGACTTTACCTCAGCGACCTTATTTAATCTTCACCAGAACCCTGTGAAGTGCATATTGTTTGTGCTAGTTTTCTGTGCTGAATAAAAATGACCACAGTTAGCAGCTTAAAATACACTTATTATCCCACGGTGTCTGTGGGTGAGAAGTCTGGGCACAGTCTCTGCCTCAGGGTCTCACTACCCTGCAATCGAAGTGTCCATCAGGGCTGTGGTCTTATCAGAGGTTCGCCTGGGGAAAGACCCACTTCCAAGCTCCTTTGGGTTGGTTGGAAAAAACCATCCCCCTGCACCTACTGGACTGAGGTGCCTGCTTTCCTGCTGGCGGTCAGCTGGGGGACAGTTCTTGGCCGTATGACTTCTCAGGCGACCTCTCACAACTTAACAGCTTCTTCACAGTCAAGATCAGAGAGTCTCTGACTCCAAGGGCTTTTGGCTCCTCTTTGAAGGACTTTTACCTGCTTAAATCAGGCCCATCAAGGATAATCCCTTTTGAGTAATTTGCCACCTTAATTACATCTGCAAAATCCTTTCACCTTTGCCATATTCCACTGGCCAGAAACAAATCACAGGTCTCACCCACACTCAAAGGGAGGATATTATGCAGGGGGTAAACATGATCGGGACCTCCCTAGGGTCTGTCACCTCACTATGATGATTTAAATTGTACAGTTAGGGAAACTGAGGCAAAGGTGGTTTTGCTGTTGTTTGCTTAGTAATCCTACCCAAATTCATTCTGCCAGTGAGTGGAGCATGGTTTCAAGTTCCTGCATTCCATTAGGTTGTCAGGAAAGTCATGACTTTTTTTTTTTTTTATGTTTTTCTATGCAAAAATGTGTCCTGACTTTCCCAATGACCCAACAGTTCAGAGTCTGCAGTCATTTTTTAAAATTTTTGCTAGAGAGTGTGTGTGCTGGCCAGAGAGCCAGAGAAAGAGAGAGAGAAAGAGCAAAAGTGAGATAGCACCCCCTATGGGGAAAGGTTACATTACAATTCCTTCTCCTCCAGTTCTTCCTCCTTTTGGGATTTTGGGCATGCACACACATGCACTGGGTGTGTTTTTCAACCCACTGGGTATTTTTTTCAAGCCACTGGGTCCAGGATTCCAACCATGCAGCTGGCTGTGTGGGATCAGGTCAACGGGTGGCCCATAGCCTGAACTCTTAGCCATGACCCTGCAGTGCTCAACACCACCCCAGATACTTCCCCTCCCTGATGGCCCTGAATTCCATATGAGGCGGAGAGGGAGGCTCAGAGAGGTCAAGGGACCTGTCAATGATCACATACTCCTGGAGTTAGGGCAACGAACCAGATTTCTCCAGTTCCCAAACCCAACACTTTAACCAGTGTGGAAGGTGGTCAGTGTTTTAACTGAGGACAAAGTGCTGAAAGAGTTCATGTGAGAAAAGAGCTCCCTACGAGGACAGCATTTCAGTGGGCTCAGAGAAACGGCATTTGTCAGTTTGAAAATGGGGAGACTCTGGCAATTAAAAAAGGAGAGAAAGGAAGAAAGAAAGAAAGAAGGAAGGAGGGAAAGGAGGAATGGAGGGAGAGAGAAAGAAAAAGAGAAATGAAAGCAAGAAAGAAAGGAGAGAAAGAAAGAAAGAGAAAGAACGCAAGAAAATGGGGAGAGGAGGACCAGCAGATGGCATAATGGTTATGTCACTGGATTATCATGAAATCGCCTGCAGTTTGAGTCCCAGACACGGAAACTTAAAACTCATGCCAGGCATGAGAAGGAACTGCGGCTTGGCCATCCCCCGGGGAGGTGATTTCTCACTTTCTGTCTCTCTAGCGAGCAAACACACCCTACAGCAAAAATCTCTCTAAAAAAAAAAAAAAAAAAAGA